TCGACGGGGTATGAGATCTTATGTGTTTTGGTGCCCATACCGGACGGGGTATGGGGACGGCCCCGTTTCACCCTCATACCCGACGGGGTAATGAGGTCTATGTTTTGGCGCCCATACCCGGATGGGGTATGGGGACGGCCCTTGGAATATGATTTCAGGTGTTAAGGGTTAACGGGTAGCGGGACCCCTATGGATCCCCATGGATACTAGTGGGCTGGTAAATGAGAAAAAATATGTTGTGTAACGATTGAATTACGAAAAGTTTGATAGGTATTATGTTATACAGTTCATATATATGGTTTCATGATGATGATGATGTTATTGCTTTCGTATATTGTTTTATAAATTTCACCGAGGTAAGTGAATGGTAAAGGTTTTATTATCGATAAAGGGATTTGTTGTAAATTATGCTCCATTGGTCTTTTTGTGTTTTCTACCCACCTTTACCTCCGTGACGGTGAGATATCGTGATGTCTTTACTGGGCTAGTGTAGCTCATTCCTTATTTAATCATTTCAGATCAAGAAGATATCGTTCCCGAGCCGGTTCCGCAAGAGGACGACGAAGGGGACGCCTAAAGACTCCATAGTCACATTCGTAGCTTTTACTTTCAAGTTTCTCCTTTAGATAGTTTGATCTTTTATATTTTGTGAGCACGTTTTTTGTTTTAGTGTAAGGGATGTTATTCAAATTTTGACTTCGCTTCCGCATTTGATATTTTTAATATACATTTCATTATAAATTTTTGGGGCTGTTTCAAATTTATTGTAATTACTTTAAATTAAAGATTTAATCATTATAAAATATTTTTTTTTAATCAAAATTATATTAATTATTGGGATAAAAATTGATTACAATACATTAATGTAACTCCAGTAGATCAAATTTATATACTGATAATTATCAATTAATAAAATAATAAATTATACATTGTCATTGAGGTTTGAAATTGTGATATTCAAGTATAACTATAATTTCAATCACTAATTATTATATTGATAATAAGTTTGATTTAATTAAAACTTGTAATTAATTATATTTTCTATTAAAAATTCATCAATCTTTTTCTTATCAATAAATCATTGGATAATTAAAAAATTATATATTTAAAGTGATAATAATTTCTCAACAATTTTTTTTTTCTATAAAAATGTAAAAGTTTTCATCAACTTTACAATAAGATATAAAATGAAAAATTCGTATTTTGAGTAACACGACAATAACAACAATAATTAAGGTTCTGTTTTCGATAATTTTTAATTTTTATTTTTATGTTTCAAAAATACTTTTATAATCATACAAATAAAATAATTTTGATAAAAATTAATACTAAAATATTATTTTGATAGATTTAAACACAAAATTTATAATTTATATTATTTAGAAAATAATTTTAGATTTTAATACAAATTTACACTTAAAATTTTAAAAATTATTTTAATAAAAAACACAATTTTCGTTTTTTTTTAAATGATAACACTTCTATAACTATTTACATCAAATATAAAATTACTCTTGACTAAAAAATTTTTTAGTGAATAATTATTCAATAATATTTTAAAACTTACACTATAAGTTATAATCGCTTTAAATATTTATAAAAAAATTTATAATAATTATTTTTAATATTTTTTACAATTTTAAGTTCAAAATAAATATATTAATATTTTTTAAGTCATTTTTTTAAATTTTTTTAAAATATTTTAGTGAAAAATTAATGTTTATTAGGAAATTTTGGGTTTAGAGATTAAATGGTTAAAAAAAAAAAAATCTGAAATATCACAACATAGTGGATAGGCTACCGGTGGGCCTGTTTCGGCTGGCTCATATCTAATGACCCGCTGGTTGGACCGCACCTCGCCCAAGTTATATAAAAATAAAATATGAATTCCTTTTTAAGTATAAATTTGAATTTAATTAAATACAAAAAATAAGAGTGTTTTTTAATAATAATAATAATTAAATTTTCTTTAGAGTTTATGATAATATTTATACAATTTATTGATTAAAAAATAATTTTTTTTATATAAATGGATATATTTTATTAATTATATAATATATGAATATTTATTATGATATAGGAGAAAAACTATTTTAATTTTAATTTATATATATTTTTTATAAAAACAAGTGAAAAAACATATAGATATATTTTTTTTGCCAATTACTTATTTATAAAAGTAAAATTATAGAATTAACTGCACATTTCTGACCCTGCCTGGCACTAAAAACATTTGAAACTGAACAGCTTTGGTTTTATTTTTATTTTTATTTTTATTTTTAAAATTAAAGAGCTTCGTCGCCATGGCAATTTGCTGAACATAATTCTTTTACAAAGACGAGACTCAGATCTAAAGAGAGAACTCAGAACCTTCTCTTCCTCTTACACCTTCCAAATCCCGATCTAACTCTCTCTTTCTCTCTATCTATCTGTGTGCATGAATTAGGGACGTTTCAGGTGCTGTTTGTGGATGAGATATTGTGTGTTCTTGATCCCTACATGTGCTGATCGGATCGGAGGTAATATTCCATGTTTCTCTATTGAGTCCTCTGAAGTTCATATCGAATTGTCTGATGTTTGTGGATCTCTTGTCAATTCAGAAATTCGCTCTGTTTGGTTAACGAGGAAATTTTAACCTCGGGAAGGTTATTTGGTTGTCTAGTTTTCATTTTATCGTTAGTGGAATTCCATTTGCTTTTTTTTTTTTTGGGGTGGTTTTTTCGCATCTGATGTGGTGGTGATTTGGTTGTCCCTAGTGTGTTGTCTTGGTGATTGAGAAGATGTTGACGAAGTTTGAGACGAAGAGTAATAGAGTGAAGGGACTGAGCTTCCACTGTAAGAGACCATGGATTCTTGCGAGTCTCCACAGTGGTGTGATCCAGTTGTGGGACTATCGAATCGGGACTCTCATCGACAGATTTGACGAGCACGATGGCCCTGTTCGCGGCGTCCATTTCCACATATCGCAGCCATTGTTTGTTTCTGGAGGTGCATAGCTTCTCTTCTCGTTTTTTGTTTTGGTCGGAATTCTCTTCGCTTTGCCTTGCGTAGCTTTGGACTTACATTTCGGAGTCTGAATTTGTTGAATGACTTGGGAATTGCAGTTTTGCTGTTTAAATAGTGCGTGCTTGTGTCATGGAATAAAAGAAATTGGTGCGTGCTTTAATGGAAATATGAAGATTTAGCTGTTGTTTGTTATGGCTGACTTTCTTTTGGACTTACATGATTGCTCTCCGATTTTTGGTTGCTTTCCTTCTTTTAGAATGGTTTTTGTCACGTATAGATCGGATCTAATGGATGGATTAGGATTAGCTGATCTGATAGAAGAATGATTAGTTGATTGTTTCCTTCCTCTTTTTGGTGCTGGATTTGGTGGTTAGTATAGCACATTCTGAGCCTAAGTTGGAGCACATATCCCAAGTTGCGTTTTTGATTTATGTTTCTTTTAGCATTGATTGTTAGTCACTATATCCGAACTAGTTGAATGTAAGTGTTGTTCATTGGGTTCGCCATGGTAATAATCATCCTTTGTTTCTTATCTCACCATCTTATAGGTGTTACTAGTTATTGACAAGGCCAGCTAGAAAATCTGTTATTAATCGATCCTGATTGTACTTTTCTTTTCGTGAGAACCCTGATTAGACATATCTGAACTTGTATTTAACTTATTGCAGAACCAACATTTTTATTGCAAAATTCTTTTTAAGAAAACCATTTGTTGCAAATAATTCTGAAATTTCCTTGATTGGAGAATGCTTGGGTTAGATGACCAGTTAAAATGAAAGGAATTACCATTCTATCTGATGATGGTGTTTTGTGTCTGTTTTTCTTCCATTTAACTGATAATAGGGTTCTTAGAGAGCAGCAGGTTTGTCACTAAAGTAAATGGCTACTAAAGTAAATGGCTTTTGGCAGGTGATGACTACAAGATAAAGGTGTGGAATTATAAGACTCATAGGTGTCTATTCACCCTCCTTGGACACCTTGATTACATCCGTACGGTGCAGTTTCATCATGAACACCCATGGATTGTGAGTGCTAGTGATGATCAGACCATCCGCATATGGAATTGGCAGTCGCGTACTTGTATTTCTGTTTTAACGGGTCACAATCATTATGTAATGTGTGCATCTTTCCATCCAAAAGAAGACCTTGTTGTGTCTGCTTCTCTAGATCAGACTGTTCGTGTGTGGGATATTGGTTCCCTGAGAAAGAAGACTGTGTCTCCAGCAGATGATATTCTGAGGTTAAGTCAGATGAATACTGATCTTTTTGGTGGTGTTGATGCTGTTGTTAAGTATGTCTTGGAAGGCCATGACCGCGGAGTCAACTGGGCTGCATTCCATCCCACTCTCCCTCTCATTGTCTCACGGGCAGATGACCGCCAAGTGAAATTGTGGCGCATGAATGGTGATGAAACAATTCTTTTCCTCGTTCTAAATTCTCTGCAATTTGGTTATGTGATATTTTTGCAGTGCATTAAATTGGCTAACACCAATCTTGTGAGAAATTATCTATCTGCAAACTGAAAACTTTGCAGTGACTGGTTTTAGAAGTTACAGTGTGTTGGTAGGGATCAATTTT